CGCTAGGGACTCTGCCTCACAGAGTCCCAGCAACCGCTGCAAACCTCGGAGAGAAAGCTGCCCTCGAGTTCCGACCGAGGCCAGACAGCCCCGCTTCTCCCGTTTGAGTCTGCGTCCCTAGCGACTCGCCCGGATCTGGAGCTCAGAGTCTGAAACTCCCTCCCGATTGTAAACACAGCCGCGCCCTCCGCGCCGCGCCGCCCCGCTCACACTCACACCTCAGAATTTCACTTCAGCACTGCGGCTCCTCTGAGTCTGGATATGATATTCTCTTTACTCCTAGTTGTAGAATTTCCACTCAGCCAGCCCTCCTGTGGTTCTGGATGTTGTCCGTTCCCTGGTTCAAGCTTAATTTGAATTGGTTGTTCAAGGCAGCAATCTCCGGCGTTAACCTATGCCGCCATCTTCGGTTCTCAATAAGTACTTGTTGAATGAGTGAATGGATAAATGAATATTAAGAAATACATTTGTTAATATGATTGGCATTTATACAGGTAAAGGATACAGTAATATTTTTAATTTGTGAGGGGCTATGGACTAATTTTTAAAAAATATATTTTATTGATTTTTTACAGAGAGGAAGGGAGAGAGATAGAGAGTTAGAAACATTGATGAGAGAGAACTATTGATCAGCTGCCTCCTGCACACTCCCTACTGGGGATGTGCCCGCAACCAAGGTACATGCCCTTGACCGGAATCGAACCTGGGACCCTTGAGTCCACAGGCTGACGCTCTCTCCACTGAGCCAAACCGGTTAGAGCTAATTTTATAGAATTGTTTGTTATTGTTAAGAGGGCATCAATGTAAAGATGTCAAAGTTGCTTTGAGTGGAAAATATTCAATTATAAAAGTTAAACGAAAATCCTCAAAATGAATTAGTACCAATGCTTTTGTTAGAGTATGTTATCCCATGAGTAAATAAAACTATATTTCTTTTAAACTCTATTGGAAGACAATTGTTTAAACAAGGATATTGTAGTAGTCACATATTAATATATCAGTTTTTTTTAAAAAAAATAAGCAACTTGAATTTATTCATAAGGCAAACAGGTCATTTGATAATTTATATTATTGATGTTGATTTACAAGAAGGAATTATTATGTCCTTGAAAGCCTCATGGGTAAGGGCACAATAAATCAGATTTTATCTTAGATGACATTTTGGTTATATTATTTTTTTAATTCTTAGCGTGACAGTTTCATTTTTTTTTTAATACACATGCACATGGTTGGTTACATAGAAAGGAAAGCATCTCTGAAAGAAGCCCTAAGAATTCATCTTTACATCTGCTCGCTTTGCCCTAAACTGT